AATCAAGTGTATCGTGAAGTTATATTCAGAAAGAATAAACCAGTTTTATTAAGTAAGGACTTGTGTTGCTAAAGTTTCCTCGGAACGAAGTTACGGAAAATCAATTAACAAACGGAGATGTAACAGTATTGTTGAAGTTAACGTTCGTTATAGCGTTTGTTTTAGCGCGAGTGTTGAAATCAAGTGTATCGTGAAGTTATATTCAGAAAGAATAAACCAGTTTTATTAAGTAAGGACTTGTGTCGCTAAAGTTTCGTCGGAACGAAGTTACGGAAAGTTAATTAACAGACGGAGACGTAACACTCTTGTTCAAATATTTGAATCCCACCACTGCCTTGAATATAATAAAAACATTATGACACACGAAAACAAAATAAGACAATCACTAGCCCAAAAGAAAAGTGAAACATAATTTGAATATTTAATTTGTCTATGTAATTTTCAGCTCTATGATGTGTGTGTGTGTCACATTTTGGTACACAAAAGCAAGTCACGAAACGTAACAAATACAAAAAATAACAAATGTCTAAATTTGCGGGCCTCTTTGAGCTTGAGGTCCGGGCCAAATGGTCCTTCTGGTTTTTCCTCTAATTGGCGCTACTTTTCATTGATAACCTAAAATACTTTAGGTGTTTGAATATGTAACTATACCCTCAGAATTAACCATTCTCAATCATTTAGTAGACCAGCTGGTTGTTTATTTTTGAATTTTTCTTTTCTTAACCAAAACGTGTAATTTCAGTGTATTTTCGGATTTTTTCAGACCCGGCCTGGCCAGATGGTTATGGCGCTTGACTCGTAATATGACTCATAATGTGCTCGCCCTTTCAACCGTGGGGGTGTTATAAGGTCGCGATCAATCCCACTTTTTCATTAATGAAGAGTAGCCCAAGAGCTAGCTGCCTTCCCTCTAGTCTTTCACTGCTAAAATAGTGACGGCTAGCGCAGATAGCCCTCGTGTAGGTTTGCGCGAAATTAAAACAAAAATCGCAAATAAATAAATAGGAAAGTAATTACTAGGTCACAAGATAACATTTGTCTTTATTGTGACTATTCTGTTTCATAATCTTATTTATTCGCATATCGTAGTAACAAGATGAAAAACTGGGCAAAAATGAGTCATCATCTTTCTAACTTTTATTTTAAACATCATTATATTAAAAATAAATTATTATAATATTTTAATTCCAAATCTTGATTTTGGCGCTACCTGAAAATCGTGTGACGTCACACCTACCGTGAATCTCTAAAGTTTGTAACAAGAACAGTAGATTGTTATTCATGGCAAGCTAAACGTTAGGTAGTGAGGGTTAGAGTAGAAGTTACATATTAGTGGTATTAATCACGGTTAGCGTAATACTGAATATAACAGATTTTATATTAATTATAGTTTCATGAGAACTCAAAATTGAATTGGATTATGTATGAGCCAGAAGATGGTAAATACTATTATTGAAGCTATGAAAATAGGGCTGATATCATAAATGATATACTTAGTTTCTAACTAAGTTACGTAGCTAGAACTAGTAGAAGTTAGAACTTCTAAGTTCTAGTAGAAATAAGTCACTCAACCAGTTAGATTTCTTTTTTTTTTTCATTGTCATCAATGTTATTTCAAATTCAGTTTGAAGTTCAGCTTAAAAAATTAAGCAAAAAACAATAATGACTAGTAGTAGTATTAATAATAATACTAGTACTAGTAGCTGGTTAACCTTACATTTACAAGTTAAACATTATACTTTTTTTTTATAGGCTGAGTTATTCAATTAGTATATTTATTTGTCTTAGTAGTAATACTAATGCTAGAGTAATAGGTACTACTACTAGTAATAGTATGATGGTGTAATATATTATTTATTAGTTTATTTATTAATGATATTTATTAGTCTTAGTAGTAATACTAATGCTCAAGTAATAGGTACTACTAGTAATAGTATGATGGTGTAATATATTATTGATTAAAAAAAGGAAAATGAAATATACTACTTACCTTTAACAATTAAATGATCCAAACCATTTCATGTGTCAGTAATAGTACTAAACATTAAAAATATGTTTCTCCATTTAATTTCTTAAATTTGTCATTATCAAACTCAAGATGATCCATAGAGTTAGAATATTGTGCCACTGGTGTTGTGACAGTTTATGTTGTTTACTCGGATAAAGTCTGTAGTATGGAGCACATATTGGTCTATGATTTGATTTTTTATTTTTTTTGGTCACAGATCAAATTGTCTTTTGTGAAGTGCAGAGGTACATGATTTTTAGTGTCATAAGCTATCAGACTTAACACTGTGCCATTAGGGAGCATAGTAATTATGTATCTATTTGTAAATTTTTAGTGGGGAATTTTTTATTAGATTCATTCATGCATTTTAATGAGGATATATTTTTTTGTAAATAATTTTATATCGCATAACTTATTCCATACTATTTTCATGCAACTTTGAGCAGTATCAATCACAAGGGGCAACTGGAAGTGTACTACTTTCAAAGAGGAATAATATATGTTCAAAACAGATGTTTTATTGAACTACTATTTTATAATTCTATGGCAATAAGTTTGATATCAAAATGTAGATTATAATTCAAATTGTAGTATTATATGCTAGTTAATTTCATAATCACCCCTATATTGAATCAAACACAGTGGCACCCTGCCCACTCTTTTCATCTTTGGAATTGGTTCCTTATATATATATATATATATATATATATATATGACTTTAACCAATCAAAAGCTCGGAATGTCCCCCTAGTGGTTTTCTCAGTTATTTTGACGTGTTATTGTGTTAATTTTGTTCTTTTCACACAAGATTTCAAATGATGAGCTTGAAATTTCATATTTTTTTAGAACCAAATACAGCTTAGTTACTATTCTTGATAAATTATAATAGAATTTTATGGTATCGATATAGTCATTTATGATTTTTTGGTTATTTAAAATGTATACATAAAACCTAAAAAAATTTTCTTTTCACATCCTCCATGTGGGAAATTTCCTAAGGCTTAGTAATTTACAACAAGTGGCAAACGAGTACAAAGGAAGTAACTAGAAGAGATAATTCATTGCTTTACTTCTTTATTTTCTGTTCTATGTTTCAAGAAAAATTAGTTTAATAACTTATTTGTAAATAGAAATAATGTATATACATATATGATGTATAATAATTGAAATGTGACAGTATTTTGCAAAGTACTATTCCACTGAAATATAGCCAAGACAGGTCACTTTGAAAAGACAATAGGTCAGTTATATATCATTGAATATGGTGATATGAGTGCGCATGCTCCTCGTCATTGTAACTTCTGTATTGTTAGCTAGGCACGGCTGGAAGGTGAATATAATAAAAAAAAAAATATGTATAGATGTACAATGTTATAAGATTTAAGCTATTTAGACTAAACATTTGTGTTATAATTTATAGTCATTCTAGAACGAAAAAAACATAATTTATATTTTTTTTCTAATTTTGTATTGAGGTTACGAAGTTGGTCAAATCAAACCAACTGATACAGATATACAGTAATGAAAATAATAAATAAAATAATTTTTTTTTTTAATTTTGATAATTATCTGGAGATTATAAAAAATTTGCGTGTGTAATTTGAAAATGTCTAATGCACTAGAGACAAATAAATGCATGTTGGAAAGAAAAAGGTTTATGAGATAATCTTTAATTACAAAATCTTAGTGCTTAATTTAAAACTTGATATTGTGTGTATGAAAACCTGCAAAATTTTGTGAAGATATGCATACATTATCAAAAAATTATAATATAACTACTCTCATGGATATTTTCGTGGTTACGATTTGGGTGGATTCCATCCAGCCCATATTGGAAGGGTTAAACCATAAATACAGTGGGCTACATATATATATATATATATATATCAATATTTATTCTCTGAAGAGAATTACAGGAATTTCAAATTCTTTTGATTCACATTCTTGTTGGTTGATATCGACTTTGGTTGATGAAGTTGAACTGACTGTTGCCAACAATTTTATGGTTTGTTCTTCCATTTCCTCTCAGTCGCCAAGTAAATCTGTAAGTACTTTCCTCCACATGTGGATAAGTTTCCAATCAGAATTAATTTGTTTTTGATCCTAATCTTCAATCTGCGAGAACATTTTTTGGAGGCTCGTACATTGAACAGACTTGTGTTCTCCATGTGTTGTTGACGTATGCTCGTCAAAAGTAAATTCTCCCATGCTAAGTCGTGTATTTATTAGTTTAGTGTGAAGAGTCCTGGGGATGAGATAAGCCCTTTTGTCAAACCTCAATGCATTGGCCAATCACCATTGAGCTGTCATTAGTAATCAGGTGGTGCCCTCTCACATCATCACAGACTACATGAATTTTCAAGAAAATGTACTTGTTAGGTTTTTCTATATGGATTGGCAAGATTCTTTATAGTAGGTTTTTTGACTTTTTGTTGATAAGTGTAAACAATAAACAAACAACACACAGTCCACTTGTTTTAAAATAATATATATGTATATACAAATGTTCTTCACACAGTTAATCACCACATTTGTATCCAGAGCTTTAAAGGATCATCTCTTTTTGTCAGTGTACACACAGGCTGGTTCAATTACTTCAGAACACCCTTTGACAAGATGAAATTCTCTTCTCTACTCTGTTGTTACAATATAATCTGTGATAATTTCATTTTAAAATAAGCACCACTATGAGCTCTTTATGGCTAAACGTACAAACACACAGTTTAAATCTATTTGACTATATCTCTTACTAAGTTTGTGTAACTTGAACTATATTTTGAAAATGTATTTATAAATAGCCCAACTGAGGTCTAGAACTTTCTACACACTGGAATATTATGATGTATTAACCCTATCGACACGGGTATCTTTTACTGCGCATGATACAAAGTTTTAGTGTCTTACATCCAAAATTTTATCAAACTACTTTTTGTTTATGTTATACCAATTAGTATAGCATAAAATCTTAGCTAATAATCCATATCTTAATAGTATACAAGTTTTAATTCTATAAAACAATATTTTAAAAAATGCTGAATTTCCTCTAGTGTGACACAGTTTCTCTAGGTGTATTCTCTTCTCTATTTTATCCACCACCCCTTCAAAAGGTATGAAATTAAAGGTGAATTACTTCCTATAACATCCTCATTACTCAGACAAACCATACTTTTTATAGCCTTCAAATTTGTTTTGTTACAGAGCTGTCAAATTTTATCTTTAGTTGTATTAAGAATTTGGCTAACTTTGTTTATCGGCTTACATATTGGATAAATATTTATTTGTTTTTTGAATTTTTTTTCATTATTTGACAAAATAAGCCAGGTATAAATGACAGTACCAAACATTCTTTTTTTTTACTTTTTTTCACCAAATAGTGTTAACTTAATATTTTAATCCCTGTTTTTTAGTTTTTTAACAGCTCTGTCAACAATATCAGGATTAAAACCTCTTTCTACTGCTATGTGCTTAATTAGTAATAACTCATTATTAATATCATCCTGTTTAGAACATAATTTTAGTATGCTATTTACATAAGAGTGAAAAACAGTAGTTTTTTTGAGATTTAGTGGATTGTTGATGTGGTGGAATGATTACAGAGAAAGGTTTAGAATAAATAATAGTTTCCAATTTATCATTATTTTTAATCACTAAAACATCCAGAAAAGCTTAACAACCATTTATCTCAACTTCATTATTAAAACTTATATAATTATCAATGCTATTAAGGTAATTAGCTAGTTTGACTTTACCATGCCACCAACTCAAAAACGTGTCATCAACATACCTTAATCAAACTTCAGGTTTTTTTTATCCACTCTTTGTAGTAATTCACTTTCAAAACTGTCCATAAATAAATTCCATAATAATGGAGATAAAGGAGAACTTTTAACTAAACCTTCATTCTGTTAATAAACTTTACTGTTAATTTGGAATTTAAAATTCTGAATGAATGAACACAAAAGAAATGTTAAAAACAATAATATTAGCATTTTACCTTTAACAGAACATATTAATGAAACTAAACACACAATTCAATGGGAAAAACTGTTATTTTAGCACAACCTGGAACTTTAAATTAGTATAAATATATATGAATCTGTTGAGATAATTAAATATATATATATAAAAAGTAAATTTAAATTAATAAAAGGATGATGAACCTGATTGAAATGTTGTCAGTAGATGATGTAAAAATCTTTAATATGTAAATTGGTGATCTGGTAATAGTATAAATAGGTTTTATTTTTTTGCAAAACATTACACTCTTGAGGATGATACAGTGATGTACATTGAAAGATGTAGAGTGTATGAGATTGTTTTTCCAGTCTCATCGGGTTGTTTACTACTTTTTACCCTGTACAGTAAGTTATTTGTATTTTAATATAATTTTGAGACTTTTAGAATTGTATAAAAAATAATTGTTGTTTTTATAAAATTGTGAGTTTTTTAATATTGAACATTACACAAGTGCCAAGTAATTTCTTAAGTCACTAATGTTGACTAAATACCACCACTCTATCACCAGTATGTTTGTTTTGAAATATACATTAATCCCACACTGATCTTCTGTAAATCAAATAAACTTATAATTTGCTAATAGAAACATATTTTACTATTGCCAGTGGTTTTGTATTATGTTGCATGTATGATACATTTTCATATACAGTAGTTTAGGATTACAAAAGTAATTTAATTCTAAATTGTTGTACTTGAAGGTGTCTATCATATTAAATGAAAGGTAATTCAAAAATGTCTTTTAAAAAAATTCAAATAGAAAGATTAATCTTGTGAGAATAATTGATTAGGTGAATGTAAGTGATTAATGAACTTGATAATTGATTGAATAACAAATTTCAATAATCACCCAACTATGTATGATTATAGTTCAAAAAGTTTTGTTTAAACAGAGTTCTAAAGAAGTTACTTGTAATATTTGTGTTAAATGGTGAATGTAAGAACCACCAGATATGATCAAATCATACTTCAGTTTTCAAAGAAAGATATGGAAGCAATTACTGCTTTTTCAAACTGAAACTCAAAGTACATTTTAACTATACAAGTGTATTGAGGATATTTGGTGATTTTAACTCCTTTTCTTAGAGGTATTTGAAATATTGGTTTTACATTAATATTAGTTGCAAAATGTATACATAAAAGTCTTATATTTTCAAAGTCTTATAAAAATAGTACTGGTACTTGGGTAGGCCTAACTTAGATTAGATGTTTTTGAATAAGTTATAGAAGCAAAGATTTGCCATAAAACAGTATGAGCTGCTGTCACATTTAACAAGCTACTAGGAGAAGAAAACAGTTTCTACTCATGCATGTAATTTATGCTGCTTCAATTTTATAAAAGTTTTTATTTATATATTGCAAATTTCTTACAGCCAGGTTCTACATTTTCTAAATGTGTTAGTAATGCATTCATTCATCATTGCATGTGCCTGTATGGCTTAGTTATAAACTGACTGTGATTCTGATGTTGTAATTTTAGATGGGATATTTGGGTCTAGTTGTAAAGAGCTTGAAAGAGAGATCTATAGAGGTATACTGATAGAATAGAAACTGAGGTTAAGTTTTGTAATATACCAAGGAAGTGAAATGTGAAAGTAACATAAGGTGCATTATATGCTCACAACTACTTATTTAAATTGATCATAGCAAATTGTAGAAATTTTTTGAATGTGTGTGCTCTTACTAACATTCAAGGTCTGTTGTGTATGTGGTGAAATATTCTTGTTTGCACATACCAGATTGTACATTCAGAAGATATTAAATTAGTCATTCATAAAATTTTGAGTGCATGATTTTGTAATTGTCAATGGTAAGTGTTATTTTGAAGCTGCAGACTTCGTAGCTAAATTTTTTATTCGTTTTTTTTATACTAAAATTTTTTTAAATGTAAATTACATGTGGATTATACAGGAACTTGATTAAAATATAACCAGGAAGAAGCTGACGTACAAGAATCTGTACTATTGTCACAGTGCTTGTAAATTGTAAATGCTTTGTATGAGTTGATATACACACACACACACACACACGTATTCCACTTTCAAAGTTTTAACCCAAGTGTTACTGATGGGGTCTATATGTGCCTACTCAGCCTTTGAAATACACTATTCTAAAATATTTATGCAACAAATTTTACTTTGGATCCATGACATGCATTTGTTTGTTACTGTATGCCTAAAACATATGAGCTACACAAGAAAATAAAAGTACCGTCAGTATTTGATTAATCCCAGTAATTACTTCTGGGGTCTCTGTGTATTTTGCATAGAAAATGGGTGGTTTCATCCAATTTGATGTGATCAGTTCTTCAAAGTGTTGCAATGAGCAAAAACATAAAATATATGATACAATATATATAGACCCCCACCAGTAGTGAATGTTACAAAAACAAGTTAGTACAGTACTTGGGTTTATATAACCTGTATCAGATGGATTTAGAGGCTGACTGGAATAGGCTTAGAATTGAGGAAATGTAGTTTGGAAGAAAACTTTACTAAGTTGAATTTTAAATTAAAAAGAATTTTGGAACATTGTTATTTATTAATTTAATTTTTTCTATTCTTCTCTAATCAGATCCTATGCTTGATGAAGATGATTCTGAAGAAATTTCTCCAGAACTTTGGCAGGAAGCTTGTTGGATTGTCATTAGTGCATATTTTGATGAAAAAGGTCTAGTGCGACAGCAGCTGGACTCATTTGATGAATTTATTCAGATGTCAGTACAGAGAATTGTGGAAGATACACCGCAGATTGACTTACAAGCTGAAGCACAGCATGTTAGTGGTGAAATAGAAACACCTGTAAGTAACTAAAATATCTTGAGAAATCACATGAAATTGTATTTTTTTTTAACAGAATATTCTTAACTAAGACTTTATCAGTTCTTTTTTATGGATGTAATCATATAGAACTTCATCTATTTCTTCTCCTCATAGAAATAACTGATTAATTAGTTGGGGTAATGTTTTCTAAATTTTTAAACAACATATTTTTTGAAAAAAGTAAAGCAACAAAAATAATACTTTTTCTTTACTATTAAGAAAAGTGTATGCAAGAATGTAACTGGAAAAAAAATGGAAATTTTTTTATTATAAATTATCAAACTTTTATACAATAATTTTGAAAGACTATTTAGTGGTATCATTTGGGCTAACTGAACATATCAAAAATTTGGTCAATAGTAAAACTAAAACATATAGCAAATTATATAGTATTGGGCAATGCATCCTAATTTTAGTAGCCAAAATTTTAGTCAACAGAATAATATTCTTATACCTAATTTAAGATATTGTTCTAGTTTCCACAAAGTAAATGAAGATGATCCTGTCTGCAATTAATTTACTTGTATGTTTAAGTTTTATATGTATTTGCATTACAGATGCCTTTAACCAACTGTTCACAGATTTGGTCCAATGGCTCAACTTTGTATTTGTGAAGTGATACATACTAATGTTTATTGTATTTCTGAAATTATAATGTGTACTGTTAACCTTTTCACATCTTTCTATTTGTATAGTTTACTGATGTACTTTGTAAACACTTGAGGAGTAATCCATGTGTCAAAAGCAATAAATCAAAGCAAGAGCCCTTTAATTGTTTCCTGTAGAGCTAACATAATCAGCATGAGTTTGAGGTGTCATGTTATACACATGCTCATCATCATGAAATTTTAGATGTTTAACTTATTGAAGTTTTGTTAGACTAAGCTGATTAGTTTATAATTTTTTACATATTTAGTTATTTTTGCAAAATGATGTATAAAAGTAAATAAAATATATATACATGAACCAAAATAAAACATATATGTATTCCTTATTTTGGTGAACAATGAACCAAAATTAAGCATTTATGAGTAAATAGTAATAATATATATATATGTTCATAAGAACTTACATATATTGTACACCTATACTGCTCAATTCCAACCACCCTGGGAGAATAACATCCAAATACCTACCAAATTTATTTGTTTAGGCTGGACTTTGTACAGAGCCATATCCTAAACGTTTTCTCACTTTTTTATTACTTTAAACAATTCTCATTGCAACCACTGTATTGTAAGCTAGCTGATAAATCCTCTCCCACTGTGTTCTTGGAGCTGAGATTACGAGAAACTCTGTAGAAATTGTTGGCTTATTGCACCACACATGCTTGTTTGCTATCAGTGGTGTCATTATGGTGTCACACAAACATTCTAATGGCAGGAGCAGGGATTTGTTACCTGTTCAGCAGGTTTCTATTTCAGATGTTTACAGTAAAATATACATAGGAAAATAGATGTGAAAGGTCATAAGTAGAAGCCCTCAGAAGTACTTTGGAACTTCATGGTCAATACTAGAAAAGTACTACTCATTTTATTTAACACATTTTTTTATGGTGGTTACAAATTTTGGTCAAATTGACCAAATGTGTATAGAGGTAGGGTAGAGAAAATAACAGATAAAATTTAGTTTGGGGAAGAAAAAATCCTTTGATATTTATTTAATAAGTTTTAGAGATTATACAAATGAAATTTTATAATTTTCAGATGAAGAAAAGTATTTTTAATCTTAAATTGAAAATCAATTTGCACTCAGAGCAGTCAACACTCTTAACTCTATATATTCATGGACAAAGATGTTTTGTAAAAATACTTAATTAAAAATTCTGATCTTTTTTCTACCAAAGAATTAATGTCTACTAAAAGCTTGAACATTTTTGTGAAGATATACAAAACTCTGGTCTTTTTGGGATTGCGTGGTTTGTGTAATCCACTGAGGCAGTAGCAAAAGGGTTAAAGGGAATGTTTCAATATTCCAAGTATCTAAAATGTTCAATGTTTGCCAATTATAATTGGTGTTATTCAATTCCATTTTATCTTGGAAATTTTCAGGCAAGTCTATGAAGTCATGGGTATTTACTAATACACAATTGTATGAACTCTGCATATTTATTGAAATCTTTCACTAACTGATTACAGACTTTGTTTGTGACCAAAAGCAAGTGTACTTAGTAGGTTACACCTACAATAATCTCTAGAAAGTTTGTTGACAGTTTGACAGAATATATTAATGATAATATGCAAAAAAAATTAACATTCATTTTAGAATTAATTTTGTCTGGTCCCTTGCCAGAAGGAATGATATTTCCATTCGGATAGCTTCCCTAATCATTTCTACTTTTTTTGCACTGAGTAGTTACTCAGCATATTTTAGAATGCTCTAATCTAAAGTTATGGCAGTAAATTAAAAATTCATTATTTGACAGTTTGTTTTTCAGTAACTCTAGTTTCAGGAGCAAAGGTGAAGCTGTTTGATTAGCATTTAATTCACAATGTGTCTTGTGAATCCACAAACTTTCCTTCGTGCATACCATTTCTTTGCTACATGCACTCCTCAAGATGTTGAAGTGTTTAGAAGCAACATTTGTGTTGCAGTCCTATAAGCAGTAGCGAAGAATGGACGACTAATTTTATGCTGTGTTTTGGGCATGCTCTTTAATACATGAGCTCAGACAATGTATTGTAGAGCCCATATAGCCAAAGTTACAACTTGGACATGTAAATATATATATGACATAAGGGCAATGTGTTATAGATATCCTGTCTTTATATTTAAAATGTTACCTAAATGAAACAATGGTTTAAAGACAGTTCTGAACTTGATATTAGGGTAAATTTTATTATTCAGAATGAATTTAATTTTTCTTTAATTTCGTGGAATGATTACCAATAAATGATCAAATACAATAAACTATTTCTTTGTTTTCAACTTGTTTACTTAAACTTCAAAAACTAGTAAATATTATAGATTTTCACAAAATAAGTTCTTAAATTTAGAATTGACATATAAATTGAAATTATGTAAACAATTGCAAAATAAATGGACAAATGCTGTTAAAAATTTGATAGAACTTTTATTTATCATGAAGTTATAATACTTGAATTTAGAATTAGATTCTCTAAGCAAGGCATAACACAGATAACCCACTGTATAGCTTTGTAATAAACAAAGTCTTTAAAAGTTGCATTTACAAATCCATAGATTTTATATGGATCTTTCATAATTACTTCTAATGTACATGGCAAAATAATTTTCCCTAAATTTATTTTTTCAGTAATGCTTTAAAAGTATGTATATATATATTCTGATGCTTTCAGCATTTGTTAATCATTAAGATTTTTTTAATAATATTTTTATTGTCCATATAGATTATTTATTTTTATTCTAATATACTGTCTATCTAGAATATTAAAACCCATGTGCAATTTTTCTTTTACAGCCACGCTATTTATTAAAGTTTGAACAGATTTACTTGTCAAAACCAACTCATTGGGAAAAAGATGGTGCCCCAAGTCCTATGATGCCAAATGAAGCTAGACTTCGAAATTTAACGCAAGTTTTTAATACTTATACCATCAGTGATGTCATTGTTATCTGTGTATTCTTGCAGTAGAACATAAACATTAGGCTAAGTTATCAGCTTTTGGTAAAATTAAAGGTCAGGTTTTGTAAAATAACTGAATTTTATACCCAAAAAAAATGAAGATTTTGTGCAGAAATTTTTACTTAGTGACCTTTGAAGACCTATGTTAATTAAAGTAGTATTTTTATCTGTTCTATATTTCTGCAATTTTCATATGGAATACACAGATATCACTGGTCATAAATTTAGTGTAAAAATTTTTAAATCACCCCTTAACTTAGCATTTTTGCTAATTTGTTTTCTTTACCATTAGTAGTTTTCCTCTGGTCTTTAGAATATTTTATGGTATATGTCAAGAAATTAGTCTTCTATTTTAAGGGTTTTAGTGGCATCTGTGAAGTTACTCTTCCTATTTTGACTGTTTATTTGCATTTACAGATGATGATATCATACACTAAAAGATATTATTTTGGAGTTCAGGGGAAGTCAAGTTCAGTGTCATAGTATGAAATTAAATCAAACCTAAGGATTGAAAAATGTTATCATTTGCAAGAGTAAGCATAGGAAGTTTGGTTATATATGATTCTTGAAATGCTAGCAGGTGAAAAGAAAAAACAGGCAGATGTAGATGAAAGTACATTTGAGTGATTGAAATACTTTATTTTACTAATCCTTTCTTCAGATACTCAGCACCCTTGTATGTGGACATCACTAAAACTGTGATAAGAGAGGGTGAAGATCCAATTGAAACACAACATCAGAAGACTTTTATTGGAAAAATTCCTATAATGCTGAGGTCTGCTTATTGCTTGTTGAGTGGTTTAACTGACAGGGATTTAACAGAGTTTAAAGAATGTCCTTTAGATCCTGGAGGTTATTTCATTATTAATGGATCGGAAAAGGTAAAGTAGAATATTTTATACATTTGTAACAACACTTTTGTTTCATCATTTGCAATTAGATAAAAATCCTTGGTTTGCAAAATTTGTAAATTTTCATTCATTTGCTTTTGCTTAAACAAATCAAAATTAAATAATGGCTCGTAACTAAAACTAGCTTTTCTTGTTAATATGATCAGTAAAAAAGTTGTTAAATATCAGTACTTTAAATAAGAGCAGCTTTTCTCTTGAATATATTTTGTAACAGAGTTGTGACATATTGGCAGGAATTTGACAAGACCATACTTAAATAAGAGCAGCTTTTCTCATTAATGTGTTCAGTAAGAGAGTTGTTACATTAGTAACAAGTTGACAAGATCATACATAAATATAAGTAGCTTTTAAGTTTGAAACAGGCATGGATAATCTATTATGCCACATGCTACTTGCCCATGCTGAGGTATGTGGCTTTTATAGTGGTTTTGTTGAGAGGTTTGTGTCAGGGGTTAATGATCTTTTCTTTAAACAACTTCTTTAATGAATTGTTTAAAAAAAGCAAATTTAGTGATAGATATGGCACAGGTTAGTGTCTGGAATCATTTTTCTTTCCGTAAGCTTCCCCATTTCCTTCTTTGAAGGTCAGTTTTGTGGGTAAGACTAATTACTTAGCTCAAGTGGATGTGACTAATGGTCAGGGGATGGAGCCAAGTGGTGTATTTGCACAAAAACCATTGCAGTGATTAGTTTTTTGATTAACTACAGGGAGAACGTTGCTCAAGACATTGAAACTACAAAAAGCATTATATCATTCATTATATAGTAATGCAGATTTTGTTAAACAAGACCGATGTCTGTAGGTTTACTTTCTTCTTAGAATTCTTCTCAAGAAGTCGATAAGCCGTCACTCACTACAACTTTTACCCGTTGTTCTAACAACGTTAAGACG